CTATGGCTGCATCCGCAAAGAGGACATCAGTGGCATCGCCTCCTGCGTCTTCACCAAGCACGGCCAGGGTGAGGGCTCCAGCCCTGTGCCAGTGTGATGTCCCTTGGAGATGGGATGTTGTCTCTGGCTGCGGCCCCTCTGGGGGTTCCCTGAGGCTCTTTGTTGTGTCCGTCCATCCCCCCCCCCCTCCCTTTATAGGTTTCTACCTAATTTCGCCATCCGAATTTGAACGCTTCTCACTGAGCGCTCGGAACGTGACGGAGCCACTGTGTCGGCTGGAGGTCACCCGGCTCCAGGACACCTCCTGCCTCAGGTGGGACGTGGCATGGGGGCTTTGCTACAGCAGCACCCCTCTACCCCCCCCACCCCGTGGCCCTGACTCTAGCTGTAACTCCTTGCATTTCCTTCCAGCAACAGCTCAACGGTAACGCCGAAGCTGCCGCAGGCAAATGGCACCCACGTCCCGTGCAGCCCCGAGGGCCAGCACTCCCCCAGCGACAGTGACCGTGAGCGACCACCCTGTCCCCGCCACACACACCGTGTCCCCAGGGGCCCTGCTCTGGGGCCGGCCCCGTGTCGTGGCTGCTCCCCCCAGCCTTCCCCTCCCCATGGCTCCCCAGGGTCTCCCGAGGAGCACCTGGCTGCCTTCTCTCCTGGCTCCATCGATTCCCCCAACAGCAGCATGGAGAACCCGCTGGATACCACCGGGGACATCACCGTGGAGGAAGTGAAGGATTTCCTGGCGTGAGTTTTGTGGGGGGGAAATGGTGTAATCGGTGCCCGCTGCTGCCAGCGCTGAGGGGCTGCGGCGGTGCCCCTGGCTGCCTCTCACCCTGCTCTGCCCCAGCTCCTCAGAGGAAGCGGAGAGGAACCTGAGGAACGCCAGCGAGGACGAGGCCCGGCCCGCGGGGATCCTCATCAAGTGAGGTGTGAGAGGGGCTGGTGGTCCTCAGGGTGGGCACACGGTGGGGGGCGTGGCTCCAGAGTGCCATGGGGTTCGGAGCTGGGACCCCAAGGCAGTGCCCCAGCATCCCCATCCATCACCAGGAGGGTGGGGGTGTGGTCCCTGGGGTTCAGACAGGAAGGGGGGATGGAGGCAGAGCAGCTTGTCCTGGGCCCCCCCCCCATGTCCCCTCTTCTCAGGGTCTTTGTCACCTGCACGTCCTGGGGCCCCCCCAGGTCCCCTTTTCTCAGGGGCTGTGTCACCCCCAGGCATCACCGGCCTCCCCGGCCCATCTCAGTGCTCGGATTCCCGGGACACGTGACTCGACTGGACCCCCGTGTCCCCTCCCCGCAATAACGTAGACTCGCCTCTTCTCTAACATCCTCTCCGGCCGCCGGCGCACCCCGGTTCTGGCACGCTCCCCCAGCGCCTCCCTGCCTGGCCGCTGGCCCTCCCACCCTCCTCCGCCGGCCTTGAGCTGGGGCAGGGGTGCCCGTGGTGCACAAACTCTTCCCAGTGGAAGATAATTTTCTTTTTTTTTATATGCGGTCCAGTGTCACTGTCCCCTGCTCGAGCCCCCTTCCTGGGGGATGCTGCTGCTTCCCCAGCTCCACAGGGAGTGCTGGGGCTCATGGGACCCCCCTCATCCCCTGGTTTTGGTCCCTTGGGGAGGTGGGGGGCCAGGAGCCCCCGGGCACAGCCCCCCCGGTACCCCAGTCTGCGTTTACATGCCCAGCTCCCTGCAGTTTACAGCCCCGGCCCAGGCCTCCGGTTGCCACCCAGGTCTCCGTCCTGGGGGAGCCCAGCGTGGCCCCCCCTGGCTCCCCAGGTGGGCACCGGAGGTCTTGAGCAGCCCTGGGAAGGGGCAGGGACACACACACACACACACACACACACACACAGGGAGAGGGGGGGTCACAGGTGGCCTTTTTCTCTTAGTGGCTTCTCCAAGGGCTATTCTCCAGGTTGGGCTCCATGCCTGCTGCTCCTTTCTGACACTAATTCCTGCCACAGGTGGGTTTGGGATGGGACCGTGCTGCAGGGGAGACACGCTGGCTCCTGGCCCTGGTCCCTGCTGGTGCTGGAGGTGGTGCGGGGGGGCTACAGATGGGGCGCAGGGCTGCCCCAGCCCCCTCCTGCCCCAGCCTGGGGGTCTCACTGTGCCAAATCCCCCCTGGGCTCCCCAGCCCAGCCTCATCCTCACAGGGGTCTGCAGTGACCCTGGCACTGGCCCATGGTGGCTCTGGGGCTCAGCCTGGCATCTGCCCCTCTCCTGTTTTCTGGGGATCTGGGGCTGTTTTGGACCCCCCGGGCTCTCTTGCGGTACATGTGGGGCTGGGGGGGGTGGGGGGCCAGGCAAGGCAGTGCTGCACTGGGCTACATCGCTGCCTGCCGAGGCTGGGGCTGTAGTGTCCCTGGTAGAAACCCCCCCTGCCTCCCCCAACCTCATCCTTTTTTTTTTTTTTTTTTTTTTTTTTTT